AGCGTGTTGGTGCCGGTGCTCCTGTCTACCTCGCTGCCGTCATCTAGTACCTTGCTCCTGAGGTATTTAAAAGATTTTGTCAACTTCATTATGAAAATTCCCAAGTCCAAGAGTTTTCAGGTTTGGGGTTTTGGAATTTACGACCACCCCGTTTTAGGTTTAAATTTCGTCTCTGATTGAAACCCGATTTTAGGTTTTTGTAATATATACTTTTATGTCGTGGTGGATGTTTTCGTTGCTTTTATGGTTTATATATATTAATTGAAAGCCCCATTTTTAGGTCTTGGAAAGTTTTATTTATAATTATTGTGATGATATTTTTCTGTTCAGGTGCTGGAACTGGCTGGGAATGCAGCAAGGGACAACAAGAAAACTAGAATTGTTCCAAGACACATTCAGTTGGCTGTAAGGAACGATGAACAACTAAGCAAGCTTCTCGGAGATGTGACCATTGCTAATGGAGGAGTGATGCCAAACATTCACAACCTTCTGCTTCCGAAGAAGACTGGTGGTTCATCAAAGCCCTCAGTTGATGAGGATTAGGTGATTTGAACGTGTGGAAGATAAGGGACATTGAATCAGCTTTGTAGTTTTTAGTATTAAAAAGTTAAGTCTTGGAAAGCTAGATTAATTAGGTCTTTTTTTCTATAGATTTTTCTTTTTTGACATTTTCTTCTAGTTTTAGGGAGTAGTTGTTATTTTTTCTTTTTTAATATAAATATGAAGGAATGATTGCTAATCTAAATTCCTTTAGTTCAAATTAATGAAGAACTGCATTAAGAAGACATTTAAATCTTGAAACTTTGTTGTTTGGGAAATATAATGGAATTTGCAACTCATGATAGCAATGTTTGTGAGTTGGACCATAGGTATATGTTGTCTTGAAAATGTTTCGGTTTCTTGATTTCTGTTGGCTGATGATTCTTCTGGTAGTTTCCTCTATGTTTGATGGTGTAAATGTTTGAATCCTAAGTGGATGAGATTGATGGATGGTAGTTTTTTGAATTTGGATAATGTAGTTGATTGTGTGCAAATTAATGTTTGTTTAGAATTTAATTTAGGCTGTTTGATGGGTGCTTTTTACACACTTATTTAGACAACAAAACATGGACAATTATTGGTAACTATATCGAAATATGGTTTAATTTTATACAAATTGTGTGTTGTAGGATAACATTGATGGATATGACTAAAATGGAAGAAATTCAAAATTTAGGGATCAAAGTGCAAATAGCTGAAAGATGAATCGGAGAAAGAAACAAGGATGAGAAATAGTCAAAAACCAATTGAGCAAGGCAATGAAGTGTCGGGAGAAGAAGAAGTAAGAAAAGAGGTCGAAACGAGAAAACGGAGTTCGGGGACTAAAACATAACATTCGGAATTTAAGCAACATTATGTGGTCGCATAGTGTAAATATTATGTGGTCGCATGGTAGGCTTCAGAGAATTTGATGATTAATTTTATTGAACTATGCGGTCGCATAATACAGTTCCGGAGGAAAAAATCTGGTTTTCTTATTTGAATAAAACTCTTATGGAAACAAATCTTGAAGCATCTTTTAAAACCCTTGAGTTGTCCATAATGCATTACAACATATTTTAAGAGCTTTTGAGAGAAGATGAGGAGGTAAGAAACACGAAGATTGATTTCAAGATTCGAGAATTCAATTCAAACAGTATTTGAGCGATGTCGATTCTTTAATATTTCTTTTGTTTTCTTCATAATATGCTAGGCTAGATTTCTTTGTGCTAGGAGAACGATAAATCATGTAATATGAGTTTTTAATCTTTAATTTTAAATGTTTGACATCAAAAACATGTTTTTGAGTATATGATTTTCTTTTCTCCATAATTATTGTGCACGGTAGTTGTGTGAATTTTGTGGCCTGTTTTATGCATTCGAAAGAAGGAAAATATGTTCGATGTATATAAATTGTCATAGGGTTCGATAGAGGATACAAATATACCGCTATACTCTATATGAATCTTTAAGTGTTCATAAAAATTCATGAACTTTTTTATATTCGTATTCATCATAGAAATATAGTTGGCTCATATATAAAAAGTAGGTTTAACATTACTCGAGAGAGATTGTTAAATAAAATAAGAACATTGATTCATTAAAATTCAATCGTGTTGTCAACGTGTAAAATTAGAGTTAAAACTGATTACTACATGAGAATTCGGGATCCTAGTACATTTGTTATTTATTAAACACATTAATCTGTATTTAGAATAATTTGCATTGAAGTTAGTTAAATTATACATCATTGTATAAGTAGATTATTTTAGTTATAATTTTGTTATAACCAATCACCTCACATTAATCTGGTTTCGGTTAAGGTCGTACTAATTAAAATTGAACTAAATCAATCTCAATGGGACGATACTTGGATTCAATTTCACTTTATTACTTGTTAACGAACTGTACACTTATTGTACTTTTAATTCGAAATATATTTTCGTGAACATTGTCTATATGCTGGGAAGCTAATCTAAAGTCCAATTGAGTTGTTTTTCCAAACTATTTTATGATTTTTCTTTTATTATTGCTTATTGAGTTTCTAGATTTAATAATTGCCAAGTTAGAATAATGGTAGAATGTGCTGTCCTCTGTCAGATAATGTAGTGCAATTTTGGTTCCCGAAAAGGAAATAGTTGAGATTTTTTTGGTTGCATTTTGCATAATTTTTGTTTGTCAATTCTTTTTATTACTGTGAGTAGTGAAAAATTTAAAATTTTACCTAACTTTATTATCGAAGTCCACGCATGGCATAAATAATCACACATGGATTGGGGGACT